GTTGCTGGAACAATTCTATGGTGGGCTAGCAACAGATATCCAAGAGTGGGTAAGGGACCGCAACCCCACGTCCCTCACCGAAGTGGCCAGGAAAGCGGATCAATATATGGATGCCCGCAGGCAACAGAAACCAGTGCCAGCCAGGACATTATGAAGACCCATCGTGGGGGCTACCTACCCCACCGGCCCAGCAGCACCACCTCGGCAGCTTCCACCACCAGCTACCCCACAACAGCGGTTACAGCCACTCAACACCGGACAGTGCCACCAGTGCCAGAAATGGGGGCACTACAAGAGAGACTGCCCGCAGCTCCGAGACCGAACAACATGGATCCGGCCAGGTCCACCACCACCACGAGCAACAGCATACTATTACCAGACCGAGACACCTGCACCATATGTCGTGGCAGTACCAACCCCAACCGTTGAACAGTGGAAAGTGCTACATGAAGCTGATCCACTCCAGGCAGATGCAGATAATCGACAACACCATCGGCAGACTGTCTATCTGGAGGGAAAATCAGTACAAGGGCTCCGTGACTCGGGAGCCACCATAACAGTGGTAAAGAGCCACCTAGTACCCAACGACGCCAGATTCAACAAGACCGTGGCTGTAAGGGTAGCCGGGGGAGCAGTATACCGGCTGCCCAAAGCAAGGGAAGATTTGCATTGGGGAGCGGGGTCTGGAAAGGTGGAGGTGGGGTTAATGGCGCAGCTATCGGCAGAGGTTTTGTTGGGGAATGATCTGGGGAAGCTCACATCCGCTTTTGAGCCCCAGACCATCACCACTGGAGAAGCACACCCAGTTGTCACCCGTCAACAGGCCCGCACCCAGGACCACAACGCACACCCTTCCTTAGAGTGTGTCCCCTGGGCTCCCCCTAGCAAATTTCAGACAGAGGTGATCACTGACCCCACGTTACAAGTATATAGAGATAAGGTCACCTCGGACCAACCTGGGGTGGAGGGAAAGAGATTTGTATGGGACAAGAAATTGTTATACAGGGAGTCTGAGAAAAGAGTAGATGGGTCAGACCGATTATCATTAGGCAGCTGGTGATACCACAGCGGTACCGATCAGAGTTGCTCCGAATAGCACATGATATTCCGCTATCCGGACATTTAGGGGTCAGTCGCACCCGGTATCGATTGACCCAGAATTTCTTCTGGCCAGGGGTCAGTCAGGAAGTACTGCAATACCTGTGACACTTGCCAGAGAGTGGGAATGAGAGGGGACCGCCGGAAATCCAAGTTACACCCCTTACCCACTGTTCAACCGAAGGTAGATATAGTGGGTGCCTTAGCCAAGCCTAGACCCTCTGGCAAGAGATTTATCTTGACAGTGGTTGACTGTCAAGAACGGTTTAATGTACCTCATGCAGATATCCAGAGACGGTGGCTCTAACTAATATCCATGCTGAAACGGTAGCAGAGGCCCTCACGCGGATTTTCTCCAGGTTGGGGTTACCCAAGGAGATAATCTCGGATCGGGGTACTCAGTTCACCGCAGAAGTTACCCAGCACCTCTGGAAATTCTGTGGCATTAAGCCAATAGTTAGTGCCCCATACCATCCCCAGACCAATGGGCTCTGTGAACGGTTTAACGGAACACTGAAACAGATCCCCCGAACCTTCCACCGGGACTGGGAGCGATTCCTGCCCCATCTCCTCTTTGCATACTGGGAGGTGCTGCAGGAATCCACAGAGTTCTCCCCCGTTTGAGTTATTATTTGGGAGGCGGGTGCGAGGTCCCCTAGATCTTATCAAGGAACATTGGGAGGGAGACCATAGCACAGACGGTACCCACATCATACCCTATGTGCTGCAGTTCCGGGACTGACTGGATGAATTAACCAGGTCGGTACAGGAAAACCTTCAGGCGGCCCAGACTCGTCAGCGCACATGGTATGACCGGGGAGCCAGGGACCGTAGCTTTCAGGTCGGGCAGAAAGTTTTAGTTTTAAAACCTGTCCGACATGATAAGCTACAGGCTGCCTGGCAAGGACCTTATAAAGTGTTGTAACAGAGATGTGACACCACTTAAACAATCGGTCCCTGTGCAGGGTCAGTTGGGCGACGAATGCTCCATATGAACATGATGAAGCCCTACCAGGAGCGCTCTGAGGAGGTGGCTGCTATATGCGCACCCACCTCTGAGGAGTTTAACAGTCTTCCCCTTCCAGACCTCCTGGGGGACGGAAGTTTGTCTAGTGACATAGAGAAGGTCAAATTAGGAGATTGGTTGAGCCCACAGGAGCGTATTGAGGTACAACAACTGTTAAGAGAGAAGCAAGACACCTTCTCTAATGTACCTGGATACACTCCTCTGGCCACTCACCACGAAGAGACACCAGGTCAACTCCCACTGCGCCAGACTCATACCGCATCCCTGAGGAAGTACGGGAGAACATGCACAAGGAGATCGAGATTCTCCATCTGGGGATGATTGAGCCGTCAGGACTGCCCCTGGGCCTCCCCAGTAGTCCTTGTACCCAAGCGGGACGGTACGACCCACTTCTGCGTGGACTACCAGAGGTTAAACAAAAAGACAGTGTCCGACACCTATCCTATGACAAACTGATAGTCCGCATGGCCAGGGGCCAATAACTCACTACCATTGATCTCTGTAAGGGGTATTGGCAGATCCCCTTGGCCCCGGACGCCATCCCTAAGTAAGCGTTTGTCACCCCATTCGGCTTATACCAATTTAAGGTAATGCCATTTGGGATGAAAAACGCTCCGGCTACCTTCCAAAGGCTGGTGGACCGGCTCCTAGATGGGTTCCAGGACTACACCTGTGCATACTTAGATGACATCGCCATCTTTAGCGATACCTGGCAGGAGCACCTGGCCCATATAGGAGCGGTTCTAGACAGAATTAGGGAAGCAGGCTTAATGCTGAAGTCTGCCAAATGCAACATAGGAATGGCCGAGGTACCAGTACCTTGGGCATCGAGTAGGCTGTGGGAAGCAGAAACCTGACCCCGCTAAAGTAGAGGCTGTAGCCCAGTGGCCAACCCCAGAACCAAGACCCAGGTGTTAGCTTTTCTAGGGACAGCAGGGTACTATAGGAAGTTTGTCCCCTGGCCAAGCCCCTTACTGATCTTACCTGGAAAAACCTTCCCAGTCAAGTAACCTGGACCCCGGAGTGTGAGCAGGCATTCCAACAATTGAAAAATGCACTTGTCTTGGCGGCTCCCAATCCAACAAAACGTTTTCTTGTTCACACAGACGCTTCTATGTTTGGATTGGGTGCAGTACTGAGCCAAGTCGGAGCCGATGGAGGAGAACATCCCGTGGCTTACATCAGTCGGAAGCTGTTACCCAGAGAATTAAGCTACGCCGCCATTGAGAAGAAATGCCTGGCTGTGGTGTGGGCCCTGAAAAAGTTACAACCCTGCTTGTATGGACAGCCCTTTTCTTTGCTCACGTATCACAACCTGTTTGTCTGGCTAAACCGGGTGGCTGGGGACAATGCCCGGCTGCTGCGCTGGAGTTTGGCGCTGCAGCCATTTGACTTCAACATCCAGTACTGCCCGGGAAAACAAAACGGAAACGCTGACGGGTTGTCTAGACAAACTGACTTGGAAAAATGATCCGTGAGCAACCCCGGACATCCCCAAGTCGATCCATGATGGATCAGACAGTGAATGCCGGCTTGTGAGCAAGGGGGAGCAGTTTAGCGGATTGCGTTTGGCTACTATCCACCATCTTTTGTTTTGGCTGTCCAGAACGTTTATTGTGGCAACATTAGGTTCAATTCCCTATGGTTCGTGACTTTTAAGGCAAAAAGTAATCAGTGATCTGAAGAATTCGTCTGGTTGTTCGGTAGGAATCCAATGGGCAACCTGTTAAATACCTCAGTTCGACAAACGAACAAACTAACGAACAACCAGACCACCCCGGAGAGGAATGTGGCTCTAATTTACCTCCCCATTGTTATTCCCACTACCCTGATTGAGAATCATACGAACGCACTGTGTATTCCCTGGGTGGGCCCCGTTCGAAATTCTAACACGTGGCGGCGGCCATCTTGCCATACGAGCGCACCAGCTGTGTTTGGTCGTCGAGTGTCTTTCACCAAAATACATGGAACTCCTTTCGGCTACTCCCTCGTGTGCTGCCGGTAAAACAAAGACCTCCACGAAAAATCACGAATGATTTTTGAGTATGTTGCTCACCCAGATCAGGGCTGTCATAGTCTTGGGGTACATCCAGAAAACAGGGGAAAATTTATGCTTTTAATTGTGTTATCTCTCAGGCTACGGGGAGGGAATGTGTGGGCTGTAACTAGTTTGTGATTGGAGAACGTATAATTTTCTGTGGGTGTCTCCCTTGCATGGGAGAGTTGCATAAAAGCAGGGTATGTGGAATTAAACATCAGTTCTGCTCCTGACACTGTGTGTCGTCCAGTCATTGGAAAGGTAATGGGATTGTAACGGATCACCTGGCACCCTGACTGGGTACCTCTGTTGAAGGATGCTCCTAGTGTTTCCTGAGGACTCCAAGCAGTCTGGCAGACACCACAATCACCGAACCGGAGAAGCATATATCTTCTCTCAAGCATATGAATGCTATAAACAGCTGAATAGGCAAAAACCATACGGATGGGTTAAGACTCCTAGCAGTCAAACTGGAACAGCATACAATAAATCCCCAATAATGAGACGACACTTCACTTTGAGGGTTAACCAGGAACTGACTGTACTGGCACATACAGCCTCTTTTATTCCCAATCCACAAACATAGTACAGCCCACAGGGTTTTACAGAACAACCAATCAATCTGTACAATACACACAGACACTCCCACACAAAATCCTCCCCTCTGCCTGTAATATGATTACTGAACACAATGGTTAATCTAATTATTACAGGAAGAGAAATACAGTATCATAAAACACATCACAGGGACCCAAAACATGCAATAACCCCATAAAAAAAGTATATCCTCGGAACCGGGGGATCTGGGTGAACCACATATCCAAAATTCACCCAGATCCGTTCAGTACTTTGGAAGATACAGTTTAATGCAGATTCTGCAGAACATATACAGGCTAAATGAAAAACAATCACTTTATAATGTGTCCCCTGCTGTATAGTCCAAAACCACTGCACGATGTCTCTGTGCACCAAATACTGGCGAGATGGCACCGTGTTGAAAAGTCCACAACAGTGTCTGTGAGTTAAAATGGCCGCCATCCATTGTTCTCACCATGTGCTTCTGATACAGGAAATGGTGGCCACCCAGTAACTCCACAGTATGTCCCCAGATGGTTCTTAAAGGGCCAGCAGCAGCACAACACAAATCCATTATGCCCAAATCATGTCTTTAAAGGGCAATACATCCCAGGGGCCATAGTCACATGGCAGGAGGCTGGCAATCAGTCTTCTCCAATGCCCAGTGGCGAGGTCGGTTTCGCCACAGGGATATTTGTGGATTGTTTTATTTACTATTGATGCTGTTTTTCCTGTGCTAACTACTTGATCGTGAGCAACTCTTGGAATACCAGCAGAGAAAGTCTATGTTGAACTAGCGCTCCGCTACATCCGTAAACTGTAGATTTGTGTAGAAATTGTTTGTTTTTTTTTCAAAACTGTAATTGTACAGAATATCTGTAAATTATCGGCTATCGGCCTGAACGTTCACAGATTATTGGTATCGGTATCAGCTCTAAAAAAATCAATATCGGTCGATCCCTACTCTTTGACTTATGTGGATAGAACTAAAGAGTGTTGCAAATCCAATCAGCTATTTGTCCGCAATAAAGAGAAGATTATTTTTAAGAGCTACATTAGCCAGGCAGATAATAAAAATCAGTTTTTGCTTATTTAACATAGAACAAGTCTCCTCCTCCCTTACTTCAAGCTCATCCCACCAGGTCTTTGTCCACTTACTGAATCTCAAAGACATTGGCATCTCTGGTACAGATCTGCAAGGCAGCTACTTGGTCATCCATCCACAGTTTTACCAAACCGTATCAGTTGTATGCACTATCCTCTGCAGAATCGTCTTGCGGGTGCTTCAGTTGGAGGTGAAATGATTTGACGTACCCTTTATTTTTGCCTCTCTATATCCTTTAGGTGTGTACTGACTCTAGTTACAAGGGAAAAACTGAATTTTACTTACCTCAAATATTTCCCCCCCTTGGATTAAAGGCAGTACAAGTTTCCCTTCCTGTTTGTAAATTTGTTTAATTTTTGCAGTACCTCAATTTGTCTTCCAATAAGAAGGCTGCCTGTCCTGCACAAAAATGTTTAAGGATTGTAGATCGCTAAGGTGTGTACTGCCTCTAATTCTGGGGAAAAGAGATCTGGATCCCCCTATCCTATCTGGATTTGGTCTGTTAATCCTGTGCACTGTATTCCTTTTCTAGAGAAGAGTTCACTTATATTTGCTACCTCACTAACCTGTTAGTTGACAAGGTTAACAACAGGACCTTACTTTATATTTATAAGTAAAATTTTACAAAATGTTTTGAATACTCACCAATTTTTGCAACATTTAGAAATGAAGCCCCCTTTCTCTGATGTTTACATCTCATTTGGGCTGCTTCATTATATTTGAAAATGTAACAGCAACATTTGAGATTTTTAACAGTTTTTTAGGGTCATTATTACAGGCGGTTTGATACTTTTTGTATATTTTTACTGTCATACATTTTGTTTGAATATTATGTAAGCTCTTGCCTTTGGTAGCTTACTGTGGATACTATAAGTCTATTCATGTGCTTATTCATATAAAGTTTATTTTAGTATATATTTGTTTGTTTTGTTGCACACTTTTTATATGATTTTAATGAGTTTCATGTTTCAAGTCGCTCTTTCTATGTATTTTGCTGGCCACTACGGATAGAATTTGTTTTTAGAAACCCTTTTCATTTAGAGATACTTTTTTTAAATCTACCATTCTTACCTCAGATTACCTTGACCCAGATCCTCCAGAGAATACACATGGCATTCTCATCATGAGTGAACTAGCCCCTGTTATATTCCTGATGCCAAATGGCTTGTAGCCTATATCTTGTATTAGCACTATGCTCCACACACCATTTCTTCAGCAATATGTCCACCGGCCTTCTGTCTCTGCTCCTTAAAATATTTCCTATTTGTTTTCAGGAATATGTGGTCCTCCTATAATCCATACTCCAATGTCCTGTGGCTGCATTACTTGGCTGATAAGCTGCTCAGTGCCGTAAAGTATGTTCGAAAACCTTCCTCAGTAGTGCACCGCAGGGAGCTCCGCAAACTTCAGGATTTCCGCAGAGAAGTTCGGAAATTTTGTTCTGCAACAGAGGCTCTGCGCATGAGTAAGCTTTTTAAATGATGGAAATCGCATTGTGGATAATGTTTACATTGGTCTGAGCTCATAAACACAATGTGTTTTGTTTTTATATAAAAAAATAAACTGGAAAGTACTATGTATTCTAACAACTCCTCATCATAATCCTTTCTCCGCTTATTAAATGTCTCCCCCTCTATGCCTGTCAATAAATATCTCAAGCAAAAAATGTTCTAAGTTCTGCATCAGTTGACGAGTGGCCACCATACAACTCATGTGGTGCATTTTGAGATTCCATGATGTTAATAAATTTCCATGCTGCACCTGTAACCTGAGACAGAAGATCACCGTCAGAATGCATTTTAAAAATGTGTGAATAGAATAAAGGTAGAAAGCAAAGTTCATACCTCCACCTCCAAGACCAGTCTCTCAAAGAGCCCAAAATGAGGCTTCTCAGATTGCATATCAACTCAAGCCAGTGATGGGGAAGAGAATGTCTGCTCCCTTTTATTGATGGTTGGCCCTGTGCTCCACTGTGAAGCCCTATTCTGTCAGGTTGACAATTTTTTTTTTAAATTGTTGGTTGCAGGGACAGGGTCTTGGTCCCATAACCTTCCTTTTTTATAAGCTGAAGTAGTGATGGTACCTGAAATGTTCCTTTAATGCTAATATATCACCTGTATGTGGGTTTTATTTTCATCACACATTCCACTATTACATTGTCAAGAGAATGACCAGTGTCCTCTAAAACAAGAGTAGTCAACCTTCTAATACCTACCGCCCACTTTTGTATCTTTGTTGATGGTACAGTTTCCTTACCGCCCACCAGTGCCACAGTAACACATTTTATAGCGCAAGTGCGATTTTTTTTTTATTTTTTTTTGGGTGAGTAGTGCAGTGTGTGTGGGTGGGGGTTGAAGGGTGTGTGGGAGTTGGCAATCTGTGTAGGTGGGTGAGATGTGAAAATCTTAATGTCTCCCCGTCCCTTCTTCTTACCTTTTACCATGGAAGGGGGAAATAATGCTGCAAGCCCTGGTGGTCAAGTGGTGGCATGTTCACTTTAGCCTGCAGCTCCTCCAGCTGCAGACTGACTCTCCTGTCTTCCTGCAAGCACAGCACTGTATCAGAGCGTTGCCGTGGTAACACGCGGCAACGCTACGACCAGCCTGCTCGCAAGAGGAACACAGAGCCTCCCAAGCCCTTTCCTTCCTTCTGCTGGAACTACATACAGTAATAGTGTGTAGGCGCTTCTTAGTATTAATACAAACCTTATACGTAGCTAAAATACATTGCGGGTGGTGCTTCCCATATACACCAAACAGAAAACAGATAATAAATACACTATATCCGTGTGTACACCCTACTCAGTGCAAATGTAAAAATCAGATAATATCACCATATGATGAACTGTAATAGAATGGTACCTAAAATATAAATATAAAAGACAACATAGTGTGAACTGTATACTATAACCAAGTGGTGAACAGATATTGGACTACCGTCTGTCTTTGGGTTATGTTTCTCCTCCCTCCATTCGTCTATTTGTACGGTTGTTTCTTTGCCCGTGCAGTCCCCTTATTTTCCCATATTATTTCCCGAAAGACTACCGAGTACGCGACCACTGGTAAGCTGGCGTGTGCCGTCAATTGACCACCCAGTATCTGCGGTTAACCACATCTTAATTGACTGTTACTGGGTGGTCGCGGCTACACCTGGCTGTCACACGATGGCGGTGTTATGGAGCTCCCCGGACAACCAGCGGTGCTCTGCCCAGCTTCAGTACACCAAGAGCGGACACTTTTCTTCCCAAGCACCGCTGAGCTACCAGCCTTCGGGTCTTCAGCTCCGTTCTTGAACCGAACGGCGGAGCATTCGGGACTTTGTGTTTTATGTTGTACTATATGTGAGGGTACCCGGATAGCTATGCCATGGAGCCTGTTCATGGAATTAAAGACTTTGTCTCCATGGCGATTAAACTGCATTCGTGTGGTCTGAGCGCCATTCACCTAATAGTGTGCGCTCATACCAGAGCTATCTGGGGGTATGTTAAATGTCTATATTTATTGTAACATTTGGAACAACGTACATTTTAAAGTAATTCTCTATCCTGTTGCCCCCACTTGCATAATGGTGATTTGCCTTTGTCCTGGGAGATAATTGAATTACTTCTCAATTATCTCCAGGGCAGAAAGGAGGAAGCCAGGATGTATTGTGACTGTATGTACTGATCTGATACCTGCCTGTCCTTTGTTACAGTCTCCCATTTGGTCCCCTAGGGGAGTGTCCACCAGGTGGGTGACCTGCATAAATACGGGCAGGTAGCCCTCATTAAAGCCAGATCTTGTTTTACCCTCAATACGGAGCTTGGTCTCGTGATTGGTGGGGATTTACTATACGCGGTTAGAGACTGATTGCTAGAAGTGTAAGCCGCTTAGATGCTGTGCCTGCTCGTTGGTTAGCAGCTATTCGTGAGATTACCGTTCGGGAGTTTGGAGAACTACTGGGTACACAGTTCGGGAGTTTGTGGTTCTACAGTAACTGTGCCTATACCTCTGCAAGGGGAAGCTCTACTAAACGGCGGTTTAACTTTGTCGGGAGTGCCGTAACACACTCACATTCTCCAGAGCCATACCAGGCTCTGTGTGACAGGTTCAAAAGTGCCAATACAGGCTAGCGACCCCACTGACATTAGTAGAAGATGATGATGAGACTTTATATAGGTTATAAAGAAAATGTATTGGTATTAAAAAAACAACACCTCAAGGTACTATGGGAGTGGAAGCCAGCATATAGATACAATATAATAAGAAAAGGCTGGAATTCCACTTAGCCCTATAATTAGTAACCACGAGTGAGTATAAAAACAAATGTGTAAAACTAAATGCAGAAAAGGCGTTTTGGCAGTAAGCCTTCTTCCAATGCTGGTCTCTGAGTCCCAAATGTCTTCTTATATACATTATTTTCTTTGCCGATCACCTGAACGTGATTTTTAGCGTAACGTCATTTCTGTTTTTTCGACTGACATCACTTCCGCATCCGGCTCAGTGGAATGCAGCGTTCTTGATGTGGACCACACGGAGAATGGAGTGGTAGACGATGTGAGTGGTAGTCCAATATCTGTTCACCACTTCGTTATATTATACAGTTCACACTATGTTGTCTTTTTCTTCAACGGAGGTACCCAGTCGGGGTGCCAGGTGATCCGTTACAGTCCCCTACTCTGTAACACTTTGAAAAAGCCTTCTGTATATGTGAAACGCCTTAGTGTGTTACTTATTTCTTTATCTGTTTAATAAAAAAATAATCTGCATTTGCACCCCATGACATCTTTTATTGGAGACGCTGTATCCCACATTCCCGGGTGGGGGACAAGCCACCTATGCTGTAAAGGACCGAGCAATCCCTATTTGCTCATCCATTGTGAGTGTATTTCTCTCTCTTATTTTATTTGTTTTATTAATACAGAGAACACTATTCCTGTTCTTTAAATCCCATATACACCACTGGAGCATCCCACGTGGATTATTGGCACATGGATACAATACCAGAGGTAATCAGGACCATCCTGACATCCACAGACGGGGATTGTACCGTCCATACGCTGTGATCTGAAACTGATCTTGAGCTCCAAAAAAGTGTGAGTGCAATATATTTATTCCTTATATTCTGCCTCTGTTGTTTTAGACATACTACACTATATTAGTATTCCTGTCCCATTTCGTTTTCTCCTTTATATTGGCTCCATTGGACTCCACACAAGGATTTTAATTGTTAAGCGCGGCTTACCTACATCCCCCGTTTTACTTGCATCAATGACCAGAAAGAAGAGACTCTGGTTTGGGAAAGCTTTAGCTGCTGTACATATAAGGAACAAGCGCCAGAAATCTCACTTGCTGCTACAATTGAAAAAACTGAATCTATTAGTAAAAACTACTAAGAATAAATTAACAATATTAAAAGATCACTAAATTTACCCAGATGACTTTATCTTAATGGTGACTCATCATTTTAACCGTTAATGTTAAACAGTAATGTTTCTATTGCAAGGTTAAACACACCTCTAGTGGTTGTCTTCCTGATAGAATAAAACTCAGTCCTGCAAACACATGCTTATCGTAGCGTTTGATTGGAGGAGTGTGGCGTTTGGCTGCGTATGCGGATCTCCCATCCAATGTTTCCTTAAGAGAGACAATGGAATGGACAAGATAATGGAAAACACCTCTGAAGGTGGAACATGCAGTTGCAGTGGAGGAGTCACGCATAAAGGTGAGTATTCTTTATGTAACTAGCAAAGAGGATTGGACAGAGAGGAACCTATAGTTCCAAAAAGCGATTCATTTTGGGACTATAGCTTCCCTTTAGTCCGCTAACCAGTATTATATTTAAAGACAAACTGGAGAGCTTTTACAGATATATGTAAAAAATATACTTAATAAAAACATTTTTTATGTTCTGTCTTGTCAGGATTGCAGAATGATCCAGCACGTAGAATTGTATAACACAGAGGACTGATAGGTAACATATACCGGATCTTAGAATGGCCGGACTAATGTACCAAAGAATAGTCAGCAATAGC